GTGCGTGTAGTAGCATGCCGCACTGCCATCAATGGCCTCAGTGACTATTTTTTCCCTTAAAGCGTTTAGTTTGAGGCCATCCGCAACTTTCTTTAGTGCGGCGTCACTACCCGCACATTCTCCCAGCGCCCCTATCACAAGCGGGAGTACTTCGGCGCTGTGGTAACCGACGGTAATGAGGTGGGCGTATTTTCTTTGAAGCAATCCGGAAACCTTAAGTAAAATTAGCCCAGTTAGGTCTTCTCTCTTAAAATATTTAAATGTAAAATGAAAGAAAAATTGAAAACTTGAGTACCATTTATTGTTCTTTTATTTAACTTCAATTTTATATTACCGCCTCGAGAAATAGTGTAGCGATGGATATTTGATGGCGATGGTTCATTGTTGAACGGCGATATGATGGATAAGATAACGATGGATAAGATATTTATTTAACGTTAGTGTTATAACGTGTAATAAAATGATACAGTCAAGTTTATTAAAGTCGAGAATAATGTATATTCATATATGAGTTAGGTAATGATATCGTTGTTTTTTTTTTAAGTCGCATGATCCTCGTGTCTATTAGCGACTATGCAGTTGCAGTTTCATTACAATACTACTCGTTGTTTTGAATGCATCCATGATGCGATATGTTGCATTTGTGAATGTCCAATTTATATGTGATATTATCCTTGTTCTCCTGTATGATGTGCTGGGAGGGCAGTTCTCACGCACGCACGCGCGGTCGCCGTTGCAGGGGCGGCGTCGACGGAGAGCTACCTGGACCTGAGCGAGGCGGACGTGCAGTACGGGCTGGAGGAGGAGCAGCGCGACCGCGTGCTGCGCACGTACGTGCGCAACGCGTACGAGTTCCACCTGAGCGAGATCTTCAGCGCGGTGCGCAACGAGTACACGGACTGGACGCGGCCCGTGCAGCACCCCATCAATCTGCGCGACGCGGCGCTGGAGGCCCTCAGCGACGGGCACACGGTGGCGCCGCTGCTGCACGTGGCGCACCTGCACGCGCGCCGCGGCGCGCGCACCTTCTTCTTCCACTTCGGCCACCAGACGCGCGCCAGCGACTACCCGCAGGTACGCGAGCCCCACGCGTTGCGATTGAGGCGATCCGAGAGGATTCATGATCATTCGTGAGTCATGACTCCTCCCAAGAATGATACATGAGAGGGCGAATCGAGTTGCTTGGGACAGGGTGAGTCGGGTCAAGCCACATTCTGCTCACTATCACATACCTTCTTCTTCCACTTCGGCTACCAGACGCGCGCCTGCGACTACCCGCAGGTACGCGAGCCCCACGCGTTGCGATTCAGGCGATCCGAGAGGATTCATGATCATTCGGGAGTCATGACTCCTCCCATGAATGATGCTTGAGAGGACGAATCGAGTTGGGTTGGGGCAAGGTGAATCGGTTTAGGCCTCACGATGGCAATGCTGATGTGTATCGTACACCACTGTGGCCACCAAACCCAAGGCAACTACTACCCGCAGGTACGCGCGCACAGCACAGAGAACGAGGAGTTACAGCGAACCTCCTATTCAATTCAATCTACGGGATTCTATCTTGTGTTTGAGCGGACAAATCGTGTTGGGTTGGGTCAAGGTGAGTCGGGTCAA